AAAGTGACATTTGCATTTGTCGCGGTGATGCAATCGATGATGTACATTAGTACGTGGTGAACTTGCAACTTCATATCCAGGCATGTTTATACAGACTAGGTGTAGATGCAGAGGTTCAAATCTAAATATTTTCTTAATCTTCCGAAATCGTCTTAGAAGGCTGGTTTCCAAGAAGCTCAGGTGGAGTAAGTTGTGTCTGCAGCTCCCCCCTCACCTTTCACCGACTCAGTATCACGTGTGTAAGGATTGTTCACAGATGCTCCAGCCTCCGCCAATATCACGTCTCTTGAAAAAAACAATCGAGAGACTTGGGCGAAATGTGCCAATTCTTTTGCCAATTTCTTCTAGCTCGTTTTGAACTTATGACATGTATCGTTGTGCCATTGCCATTGTTTTTCTTCATATTTATCGCTGCCAATAAGATACGTCGCCATGTATAGCAAAGGAGAGTGATGGAGACGGCGACCAACAGTTGCGACATTGACGAATGGGAGAACATATCAGTCCAAGGTCCTGCCAGCCGGCTCATATTTCTCCTCCCCTGCGCCGTACACCCACATCTTTCTCACTCGGATCAACGCCTGCAGGGATCGGGTTTCGCGCATGCTCAAACTAGTCGCACAAGAACCATACGCCGAACGAGAACTTTCAAGAAACAGCTTCTGGACAATGTCTAAGACTTTGCATCGCCTCTCAAGAAGTGAGAACGACTCCGGGATCACTTTTACTGGCCTCTTGGCGACCGTAGCACTTTCTGAAGTTTCTCAAGTTAGACTGTAAACTACACATCTCACTTACTTCCGTTTGGACTTTGATTTGGTTGAGGAGGCATTACTCCACATCTGATGGAAAATAATTTACAATCGGTGATCCGTCGTGGGAAGGTTGGGTGGAGCCCAGGGTCTCCTGGCCCGGGGACGCCAGGAACTCGCCCTCGGTCCGCCAGACGTGAACCTAGGGTCCACAGATATCAGTGGAGACAAATTTCTTCAGTTGTGCAGGAATTCGTCGTTATCGGCAGATGATATGACGTTCTTTGCCATTATCGTTTTCAGCGACCCGAGCATACGTGCTGTATTACATGCGCCAACAGCCGTCATGTGATTACCCTATTAGTCCCCGTCAGTGCCAAAGTCTCCGCTAAACATTTCTCATTTCTGGCTCTCCCACGATCACGTAGGATCCTAGTGTAGTTCACAGTTTGGCTGTCTGTCATGAGAACATGTCTTAGGCGACTTCCACTCCCATGATTCCACTTGCCTTACCCGGCACCACCCTCACGCGTTTTCCAGTAACCCCCGCTCATAATCACTTCAGTACGTGAGAGGTTTTCTGTCCGCCAGTTTCTCATCAATATCACCTGCAAGCCGGGCCTTATTGACCGCGTTTGTCACTGGTCCAGTTCCTCTACAGACACCACCCTTGTCTGGTACAGATGCTGCGGCTAGGACACATGCTTCCCTTTCCTGACTCAAATCAGGACATGTTTTTAGTTCTATATGAGGAGCAGAGATGGCGAGCTATCGTGTTACAGTTTAGCATTCTCGCGCCGTTTGAGTGAAAAATTCTCGCTTTGGAATTGACCGATGTTAATCGAAAACACATAAAATGGCGCCAGGAGAACTTAGACACGGCTGCGACTTTGACTTTGGTGACGCCTGCCCGCACACGGCTGAAACAAAAGCCTCCGAGTGGGGGCGGGGAATGTTTTTGTAAAATATTGCCTTTGCAAGGAAAGTGGCGACTTTGAACCTCCTCCACAGTTTGGTGCGACCCCTCGCGTGATGCTGGGTAGTGAGGGATGTGTTGTTTTAACTGGTCTAGAAATACTGATGCTCCATGCTCCAACTGATGCTCCATAATTTTAAGTGACAGTCGTATGCCAAATCGATGGTTAGAAGTTAATGAAACCGCTTTCTCTGTTGAAAACAACTTAGTTGCTAACGGTAGAGGTTGCACATCCATACCAAGTTCCTCGGCGTGGCGTTAGTAACTTTTGCTGAGCCCCTCCCTCCTCTTCCCACTTAGCAGCACTTATCGCTATCGGTCCGATCGGAAGTTAAGGCTACTGGTCCAGGGTACTGTACAATGTCATACCCTCAGGACCCTGGCTGCGTCTCTTCGTTAAGTCTTAATGGCAATGCGTCAACTGGCAGCAAAGTAAAGTTCTTTGCCACGCTCAATGCCATATGTCAGCTCTCTTCAGCTTTTATGGTTACAACATACATGAATATCTAGACCTAGCCAACAGTGTCATTGTACATCTTGGCATCCAGCAGTCTATAAGCCAAGCCTTTTTCGTCAACTTTAAACGGTCTCGATATGCCAAGGAAGGCTTAGCGGCTTTGAAGCCGGCTTATCTCCAGGATTATGTCAGAGATTATCCCGACCGTCGGGACCAATTTTCTCCGTGCAGATGGCAGTCCGCGCGCGCCCTTGAAGCTGCCCTCCGCACTTGTGTGTACCGCGGGCCGCCTCCGTCTTCTGCTGGGTAAATTGGCTGTTAGCTGGGAACATTTCGTCTTGACCCGGTCATGGGGTCAGCTGAAGGTCTGGTGTGCAGGAGGGGCGATCACTCAGGCGGGAGGCACTTGACCGTCAGTGGCTCAGCGATGTGTCAACATGCCGATCGAGTCGCCTCGAGCGCCGCCGGAAATGGAGATATGTACCGCTGTTTGTGCGCCTCCCGTTCACGGCTGCGGGGCGTGAGAAGGCAGCTCGGCGCCTTTGGTGCTCCGGGGTCTGCTTTCCGTTACCCTGACAGTCCCTGGTCCCGACACAGATATGATTTTAGATTGGTCAGATTAATAACGTGTTTCCCAGGCTCTGTACGCGACAGCGTGGGGAGGCGTTCATCTCCCATCCTTATCGAGCCGTGAAGTGGCCAGCCTTCAGACATGTGACATTTCTTAAGAAACCGTTTATCCTTATCCGTCCGTTTTAGTGCTGAGCTAGGAGTTTGGCTGGAAGAATATCATACGCAGACATATCTTAGTGATAACCTTAAACCATGCTGGATTTTTCTTAGAGAATTCCAGTATGATATCACATTGTTGTGGCATACACAGACTATGCAGGGACAGATCAACAGTTCTGAAGTCAGCATATAATCTGTGTGAAGTTGCCATCTCATTATCCTCACCAGCAGCCGAGAACATGCTCCTAGTGACGAGCCACTGCACAGGCCAAAGTCACACTGGGAAAAGTCCTGCCTGGGTCATCAGAAGGACACGAACTTATTCTTCTACCCAAAAGGCAGCAGTAGCGGCGTTGGGATTCCAGCTTTATGTTCGCAGTATTTCTTTCATCAGTTTACAAGCAGCCAAGGAGCCTCTCCCAACATTGCCTACGTGTTTGGGACGGTGATCTGGTTGTGCTGTCCTCCGGTTGCGGCTCACGTTTGCCTCTGCCAACTCCCAAGATATCCATTCACACATCCTCCTACCCTGCTGATTCTCTCAAATATTTCCTTCAGCTTCCGACAGGTCTTCGGTTTTGAAATTTCAAAACCATGCACTGCATGTACGTAGGCATTCGTCCTATGATGAATGTCTAGAATGTCCAGAACACCGTTAACTAAGATTGGGAACGGTTTCCGATGACTTTCCTTTCGTATTTCTGTAGTGTGAAAAAGGCCTCGGAAGATCATCGGCACACTTCGATTCCGTTAACCACAATTCCGTGGTTTTTCCCTCCATCGTCCTAACCCACCCCTGTGTAAGAGTTTGGCACCTGTCCATTTTGCTGAGCTCACGTTCCGACCAGGACGGAAAGCAGACGACGAGAAGGCCCTGAGACCTGCCAGTCCCGGTCCCTGGTGCTGTACTGAAGTGTCCTTGCTAACCCTCCCGGTGAGCTGATCGCCTGGGAAACTGAGTATTCTCCCGACTTTTGACGGTCAAACGCTAACGGAGCGGAGAAAAGTGCGTCGTCAGGCCGACCCTTCATCATGCTCCCCCCCGCCATCCTCCCGTCCAGGCTTGTTATTTTAGCGGACAGGGGAGCGACGCTTCGTAATGCCAGCCTGTTCCATGGAGACGGCTTGTGTATCGGCCGATTCACAACACCTGCATCTGACTAACTTTGCACCCGGTCCGCCAGACCACCGCCGGGACGACCTGGCCTGCGTTTGAAGTCGTCTGTATTTGGACATGAATGTCTGTATTCCGGGGTCCCGCCAGGACACACCCAAGTCACTCCAGACTACCTGCAGCCAGGCTTAGCCAGCTGTCGCCTCGGTTCGCTTTGAAGCGGCCGGGAGGTGCAGGGGGACACCTACAGACTGGGTCTCTTTCCACGCAAACCCGTCAGGGGTCGTCAGCATAATTTCAGGTTTTCTGTGAATAACCGGAGATGAAGAAAACGTCAAGATATCATAGAGGAATTCGAAGCATATTACTACAGTATTCTGTGATGATTGAAGACGCCTTGGTCTACTACAGGACAAGGAACAACAATTAGTTTGATAATAGATCTGTGCTCTCCGCTGGTCACAACTGAAGGTTCTGTATTTCTTCTCCGTCACCGCTACCCTGTAAACAGTCATGGCGGCATTACCCCGTACAACTTCCTTCCCCCACAAATCATCTTTTATGCATGGCGAAGAACATGGCCAAAGGCGGCCATGTTTCTCCTATTTTAGAACACACAGAGAGAGTTTCAGGGTAAAGGCAACACCGTTATAACCACAACCATAACAGGAAGGTTTACCATGGCTGGGAGGGAGGGACTTGGTGGGTGGGCCGGCGGTGGGAACGTTTTAGTGCGCGGTGTAGCAGGTCAGCCCGGGTCCTCTCCATCATAACAAGTCATAACAGTAACCATACACACATCGACTGAGAATTATCATATGCAGGAGCACCTCCATCTCTGATACATGTACCTACGGTTTATAAGGCGGAACAAGTGATCAGCGTATCTGGTCATCACAGTTCCTGTTACACGTAAGACATGTACATGTGAGAATAGCTGAGCCCTGATGCACCTGTCCTCTCCCCCAGACCCGATGATGTGGAGCCCCGAACACGTGCGTCAGTGGCTCCACTGGGCCATCAAGGAGTACAACCTGCAGGGCGTGGAGCCGGCACGGTTCGACATGGACGGGAAGGAGCTGTGCAGGCTGCAGAGGGACGACTTCGTCAGGCTCACCAACGTGCATAACGGAGACGTGCTCTTCGCACACCTGCTCTTCCTCAGGCAGAGTAAGTAGGGCGGGGGTACCTATGTGTGGGGGTCGGGGCCGGTGGACACTAATGTGGGGTAGACAACTGATGTAGATCTAGCACCACTCTAGGCTCGAACCTGTCTATTTTAAGATGACTTGTGATGTGCAGGTGTGTCGAAATGTTTGATACAAAAGGAAGCAGTGATGCGTAAAATAGATTTAAACCATGAAGCTAGCGTTAGCGCTACTCAATGTATCTGTATATATACTTCCCCAGAATTGAACGCTATGTTGCTTGAAAGAAATATGTTTTAAAAGTCCTTTCGTTCCTCCCACCCGCTGCAGCACCTCTTCCCAACCTGACGTCCGACGATGTTGACAAGGCCCTGGCCGCTTCACCACGCTTCCAGCAGACCGGTGAGTCTTTCTGTCGTTTGCCGTTGTATTGATACAAGAGTGATACACACTGTATAGTGTTGTTTTTGTGTGATTTTACCCACACCCAAAATTATCTACTGAGTCAGTGAAACCTTCCAGGTGTAGGGACGACTCTCCTCTGTGGCATCAGCGCATTTAGCTGATGATGTAATCCTTCATTTGACCTCTTGTAAACTTTTGTACATGTTAATGAGTTCAAACGTTGCCTGGAGCAATACCTGCACATTTCACTTCTACATCATCAATGTGACATATTTGTTGTGTTCCATTTGTCTCATTTGTGAGCGACTACCCAATGATGAGTATCACTTTGTAACAGATGGTGCCGTGCTGTAAATAATCGTAAATGTCAAAGATGAAACTTTAAAATGTCGTTAAATTGAGATCATCGTGTAATTAGGGCAGCTATATAGGTATTTTGTTTAAATGGAAAAGGTCGTTCAGAGTTCAGAGGTACGTGGTTGTCACACGTATCATGAAACGAACGTCAAATACTTGATAAGTACGGTTTGAGTCTCACCTTCAACTACCATTACATTACGTGGCCTAGCAAACTTAAATACAGTGATACACGACTAAAAAGTGTATATTTGTAATAATCACCATGTCGGTGTGGAAACTCGATTATAACTGTGGCATAAAGACGAACAGCGCCATCTAGCGATAATGTTCTCAAGTTCCAAGACCAGATAGCGACAGCTGGATGATCGCTTGGCACCTGAAACTGTCCAGCAAACAACTTCTGCCAGCCAGTTGAACACATGCCAAGATTTCCACGTGGTTTATTTGAGACATTTCGCGTGTGGGTTGCCAGTCTGGCAACAAACCATGTAAAAAAATTATTTTTTCTACAACTGGAAATTACCTACATAAAAGCTCGAGCATGCATACCTTTCTGACAATTGAATATGGTGTAACCTGGATACACCTCGATATAGCACGAGAGACACCTTTCTAAACATCTGTCGTCTTAAGAAACAGCGAGGACCTTGCCACCCGGTGTTGAATTAAAACTAAGTCGTCTCATCAGGTAGGATCTTCACGGCGTGCTTAAGACAGCATTAGACAGCTGCTCTCACCTGTAAGGACCTTGAAACTATCATCTGACAGTATCCGTTACCTAGGTTACGGCAGTCTTGTTAATGCTTGACCTGTTGTTGTTGTATTTGCCTCAGGCTCCTGTGTGTTCTCGTACCCACCCACTTCGCAAGCCGTCCACGGCACGTCCCGACTACAGAGGCCAGGTGAGCCACTTGTTCGGTCACTTCGATTCACATGTCCCTCCGGGCGATCATTAATGCACGACGTCTAGACCCGCTCATTTTGTTGTGCTTTGTGAACAGGGTCTAGACGGGCCTCTCCTAGACACCCAGGAAAGAACGTCTAGTTTTCCTTATAAGGCAATGTCTGTCTTGGAAAGTGGCGAGAAATTATACAAGTTGAGACGTCTGGTTGTCAAGGAGACGGTCTGGCGAAAACTGTCTGATATCTGCCTGGGCGGACAGAGGTAAACATGAATGTTCACCATGTAACGTACGTCTGGACTACATACTGTCTGACTCTTCTCTGACACGAGTGGGATCAACATTGGGAACCTGTTTGGAGTACTCTTTTCGACAGAACAAACTTAGATTTTAAAACTATCATCGTAAGCAACCTGCTTTCTTGAAATACTAGTATTACTGAAAGCGGCATGACCTTAATTTCAGAAACGATGAGAATAAGAATGAGCCCATGCGTACAATGAAACTTCGTGTCATGTCTGAAATTGTGTACTGAAAACAGAACTGTACATTCATCGCCTTGCTGGTATCTGGTCGAGAGATAAGTATGAACGCTCAACACTCGCTGCGGCGTGACAGTAATGTTGACACAATGTCGGCGAGACAACATAAAGGTCACCTGTCCATGTGCCATGTCTAATGGTCCGAAAGTAATTCGTCTTATTTTTCGCTTTTCTGTGGTATGAAGCAGTACTGGTGTTTCGTCATGTGGTTAAGATCGGAGTTGTACCAGACGTGTAGTGTCAAAGAACAGGACCAAAGTTCTATCGGTGGTAAGGGTTGCTGTGTTCTCTGCTCCTGGCCGCACGCCAGACACGTCAAACCGAGCCCTTCAGGCTCACCACGGGTGATCAGTCTTTACAATACCTGGGGTCATAACAACAACACTGTCTTACAAGTCGACAATAGCGGCGAGTCAGGTCCTCCGCTCACCTGGGGACCTGCGTACCTGGACCACACACGGGGACCGTCAATGGACGCGATTCAGCAGTTAGAAGCCACTTGTTTTACCTCACTTCCAGGCTGACGCACGTTGTAATATATCTGTTTCGGCAATAGAAGCTGTGCAAATATTGTTCCGGAGTTCTCGCAACCAGGCTCGGGGGTGGCCAATAAGGTGCATGATGGAAAAGGGGTCTGAGGTTGTCAGATGAATCTTAATGATTTACGAACCAGAGACCAGACCCCGAGGCAGACATATATAAATCATCTGTCAAGTCAGTTTATCAAGTCGTGTTTTATGGAAGAAAGCAAAAATATATCGCAGCTTAAGGCAGCTCGTAGAACTATTTTGGGAGTGAAGCTTTTGTGAGTCGGTGACAGGATATCACCGGGGTATATTATTGTGCAGCTGTGTTTTTAACCTTCTTAGTCAGTTGGGATTTGTGGATTGTTTCATGTTGTTGTTGTTTTTCTTTCACCCGCACGCAATCCGCGATCCTGTGTGTCTCACCGTGTTCCATTCGCCTGTTGAACTGAGACGCGATGCAGCGCCGTCTACTGACTTTGTCTGTTGTTTCACCCCTCCGCAACAGTGCATGGTGCATCCCGTGCGCATCATAGCCCTTCCCAATACAACAAACAAAAATATGCATGTCCTGCTCGTAAACATCAGTGTTTAATCACTATTTATGATTCTGTCACACATCTCACGACAAAGGACGTTCTTCTGTCAGTAATTCTACCCCTGCTCATTGTCTGTAACCTTCTGATGAAAAATGGCACAGTCAGGCTCAAAACTACCAAAGCTGTTTTGTTCCATCAAAGCTTTTACTAAACAGGCCAGAGCCTATCCATTCCGTACAAACTATGCCCCATATAGTATTTAGAGGCCGCCAGACTTCGATCCAAAGTTGCGGCCGGCGCCTGGCCGTCCGGGGCTGGATCCGGTTCGGACCTATTTTATAAATTGCGGGCTGCTAGGGTCGATGTGCGCCGGAGGACGGCGTCTTTTGTGAGGCCGCGAGATACTAGAATCTGACGGTCTTCAATCGACATTAGACCGGTTTAAAGCGCTTCGGATCTGTTATGTACTCTCCAGATAGACTATTTATCGAAGATCTTCAATGGGTCTTCACTGTGATTTACCGTCGGAAACTCAGGCGAAGTAGATGAAACGATTAGAAAGTTTTGGATGCGGCGCAAACGTACGCGTTTGTATGTATTACTCTAAGTCTGCGTAGTTTTAAGTCCGTGAGTTAGCCCTTTAAGACGTTTGTCGACGTCTTACACCTTCAGTCAACCATTTGAGTAACGGCGGAAAATTTGGCTACCATGTGTCTCCCGTCCTCTTCTCACCCCCCATGTACCTCCTTTCTTCCTCTTTGCGTAGACTTCTTTTCCTCCTTGCGTCTATGCTGACATTTTGAACTTCCTCTCACACACCTTTCTTCCTGCTCTACTCTGTTACACCTTGTTTTTCTTCTGTCCGTTTTCATTCGCCACTCGGTATCGATGCTCCTGAGTCTCTTCACCTTGTGTCTTCCTTCTACGACTGAGCTATTCCGTATGTTCTTCCATCACTCCACATACTATCTACAACATACGTCATCTTTCTCCTTTGTGACTTTCTCATCTTCCTGGCTGGCTTATCTAGGAGTGAGCGATGAGTGACCATCTCTCTAAGCGCTGGAACATTCACCGCCATACATCTTCCTCTCTAACTGCCTTTCCAATAATCACTCAATTTTCGAATAAACGGTAGGCAGGGGAGGGTGTTCCAGGATATCATCCATCTCCCCTCTTGACGGGAGGAAGACGGGGAGGGGGCTGTACCCTGTCCACGCCGCCGTGTCGTCGGGCGCGAGCGCGAGGACCGCCGACGGAGCCAGCGTCACTTACCGGTGCGAACAATTTCCGACCATTACCCGACGTCGGCCGTACCATTAGGGAGTAATTGTTTAGATCATTAGAGGTTAACCACACTTCTAACCAAACCATGTATTGATTTAAAGGGAAGGCGACTCTTCAATACTCTTTAGTAAGATTTTCGCTCCTCTATCAACCTTCTTCATGTATACAAGCACAATGATTCAAGGCAAAACAACCTTAACTCATCTAAAATGACCAAACGAGTCAGACTGGAATTGAAATAGTTTTCATATTTTGTCGATATTTGACGTATGGATGCTAAAGTTCATGGCCAGTGTGTATGTGGAAGTTACGGAAATAATGAAAGAACAGACGATGGTCAGTGTTACACAGCGTAGCAATATAGGACGAGTATTGGGTTTTAAAAAGTCCCGGTCTCTATCCTTCATGTGTCTATATTAACTGTTGGTGAAATATAAAGGTAGACCGCAGTGCAAAAGATCAAGTACTTACGTCTACTTGTGCGTGATTGATAATTACCTTCTGTTGAACCTGTTGCTTCAAGGACCACGGGTAAATATTTGTTAGGTAATTTGTTTTGATACCTGCTCACTCAAATAATTGCTGTATGTTTTGTTGTCCTAGTGATAAAATAAAGTAACCACGTGGCCATTCGTACATTCAGACCTGTGAAAGATAGAAACAGTACCAAGCCACAAAAAAAATAAAAAAATAAGAGACAGAAGTGTTCTAAACATAGATGATTCTCAATTTGTACTCTCCCTCTGCTATATCGTCTTAAGCAAGCAAGCACAATTATCTTATTATCGTCTCATTCTGTCAAAGACTCTACTTAAACCACAAACGCCTAACCCTTGTGACATCGTATTGTTATCATTATGTAATGTGTGGCGTCCACACACCTGTACTTAACCAACTGTCGTTAAAACCTTTAACTCCCGATGTGTAGACCCTGATGAACTGTCATCACACCGTTACACGTGTCCACAATAGAAACCTCTGAGGACGACTACACACCTTGTGTCTCTCATTAATATTTCATTTCCTATGACGGACTGCTGCAGGCACTACAGATCTGATTTTCACTCATAGATGTATGCAGAAGTAGCAAAAGTGTTATAAGCAGTTTTCTCGGCAGCAGAATGGGTATTTTTAGTAGAAATTTTGTTATTGTTTGTTGCCGTCCGTCCCTCAGCCGTACAGACCGCCGAGCGCTGGTTAGGGTAGACTCGGGGGGCTGGGATAATTGGACTGCATTAACCATAGTAGTCGCGCGCCATCATGGAGTAAATTGCGCGTAATTGCTGCCAATGCTGCTCTTCGCCAGCCTATAATTCGGCCGACTTGTTGTTAACTAAGCATGAAATATTCGGTGATGCTCCCCAGACGTCCTCTCCAGCGGGTATTGACAGAGACAAGAGCCGGGGACCGAGGACAGGCCCTCCCGGCAGGCTTCCCGACACGGCGGCTCGGAGGGTCGGCTTGGGGCGCTCTGCCGCGCCGGTCACTACCTGTAATTTCCAACCGGAGGTCTCTATTTTCTGAGCTGATGAGGCGTTCGGAAATCACATTAGTCAAGACAGCAAGGACTGATAGAGCCTAGGCTCACCCAAGCCGACCCAGGCATCAGCCTCGAGGGTAAAAGCAGAGAAGCAACGTAAAATGTACTGCAACTAGGTGCAGGAACGACGTACGTGTACCGGTCTGAATATAACGCTAATGGCGGTCCTCAGGGGTTGTTCTGTTACGTGTCCTATCAGCCACTTAATGGAGCAATAAACTTTGATTTGATACCTTTCACCACCAAAGCGCGCATCAAACGTCATTCGTGATCGCGCGTCGTGCCGAAAACAGACGTGTTTGATTGAAAAGACAGCGGCAGACCCTGTCACGTGGTCGTGTTTCAGGCGGGGACGGGAGGTACACTTAATGGTGATAACAGCACCTATTAATATAACTGTCTCCCCTCCGGACAGATGAAGGGCCGGCTGTTAGAACTAACCTTCCGCCTGATCAAAGTTACCTCCTACCTGACATGACTCTCCCGGAACTTCAGAAATAAAGGCTTCCTTTCAAGGAAATATTTAGTTAGGAAAAGGTTATCATTTCTATGTTTAGTCCCCTTCCTGAACTATCAAAGACACACGTGCTCATTTCTGCCATATACGGTCTCATCCCAGGCCTGGTCTCATCCGGCCTTCCAGAAATAGCCTGGTCTTTCATTACCTGCACACCGGTACAGAACAAGGCATGCCGCCCGCCACAGGAAAATCATCTGTCTTCGAGAGCTCGATCCTGTGGCCCGAGTTTGTATCAATTTTCATCCAACGTTATCAAGTCAAGTAATATAGATATGAACCATCAACAGGAGCCATGTACCCTCTATTTGTTCCTGCTACCTAAACAACTACGCCATTTTTCGACTCTCAGGTGATAGAAAAAACGCGTTGCTGAACAAACCAGGGTCAGGTAGCTGCTGAAAATCTATAGTGACGTCTTTCTGATTTTTTAATGACTGACAATTCCAGTTTTCTAACGTTACAAATATGGACCTGTTGTATATATCTCATGTTATGTTCTGTATTATTACATAGTATACCACAATATCTCACACGAGTAAAGGAAGCCAAAAACTAGCTCAGAAATAACATTTTACGTCGAATTCAGATCCATGAGCTCGTTAATTGCAGATTCTGGAGAAACAGTAGCTTTGTATTTTTATAGCATCACAACGGGATAGATGACGGGCTGTTTGCTGCGCGCGTGCCCAGATTTGTTTGTTGACCCAGAGAGGCGTGTGTAGTGTTTAGAGAAATGGATACACCTTAAGTACGCAGACATCTCGTCACGGCCGGCTGAGTCTGAAGTCTGCACAACACATACTACCACCTGTTCACTAGGAGGGTGCCGGGCGCCCGCGGAAAGCCTTCCTTTGTTGGCGTCGTGTTTGAGCACGTTGCCATGTGATCTGGAGAGATGCCCGCTCAAGCAAACTTCCAAAAACCGCTCGTTCGTCATCTTCCTCGCTCAACAACCCTTTAATACATACTGCCAGCTGTTTTTTGTTGGAGCCCGGAGGACCGGACTTTTGTTCAGAACACCAGTACCTCTCCACATACGTGCGGAATTGTGCCGCTTACGTAAAAGCTCACCAGCGCAAACAATAGTGGTCGAGTTTTGAAGCCGTTCCTTATTTCTACTTGTTTTGTTCGCCAGCAGTGTCTGTCTAGTCAATGACTGCGTGCGTCCTTCCCGTGAAAACATCCACCCACGTACGTCTCAACTATTCTTCTGCTAATGATTGTCTCATGTACATCTACAAATATGGCGTTTTTCTGTATCATAGGCGTGAAACTAATAGGAACATGCTGTTCGTGACCTGTTTTATTTGTTATCTTAGATATGTATATATATCTTTTTTTTATTTGAACAGTTATAACTTCTGCACGTCTGGACGAGTCCAATGAATGACATTGTACCATCTCCCAATAATCAGCTCTTCTGAGTGACTTGTACCCCGGTGCACTATAATTACTTTTCCGGGCCAGTGATTGGTCGGTCCTCTGTCGGATAGATGTTCGTGCTTCTGGGTACCGATCGTTCCTGTGACGAACAAAACAAGAAAAGAACGTGTGACGGTGTCTGTCGGCTCCACGCGTCACTCAAGGCCCAGTCATAAGAACGGGTTGACGTCCTGTCTGTGCCATTATACTGAGTACCTGTGCTACTAGCGACGTCGTCGGCTTATCAGAGCCCAGATAGTTGTTAAGTCTCGCCCGTGCCATCTCCGCCGTCCTGTCCCGCCACACCATGTCCTTCCTCGCAGCAGCCCTCCCGGCGGACATCCAGCGCCACTGTACGTCGTACTTTTCCTCTGGGCGGAAACAAACTTCTTAGGATTCTATTAGTCTTATAGGACTTCTTGAATGTATGGACTCATATCCAGCATCAAGTGTCTTAAAAGTGTGTAAATAGTTTAAATCCTGTAGATTTACAGATACAGTGTTTAATTTTTTTCTAATGATTTTGTTCTTTTTTTCCGCAGATCCTTCGTACGAGTGTTTGATGCGGGAGAGACAGGGTGGAGTGACCAGCTGGAGCGCACTGCCGTCCTCCGCCTCAGACAAAGGTAGGCGTGCTCCGATTGTCTCCATGGTCATGTGTGATATACCGGGAGATGTGGGTTCACTTCAGTGTCGACCTCGTACCTGTCACTAAATGTCACCGTAGACCACAGATTTCTATCAATAGATAGGTCTGTATACGCACAAAGTAAGAGATCGCATTAGCCACAGACGAAGGTGGTTTTGGTACTTAATTCCACAATGCGGTTTGATCATCAATTACTAATGATGCTAATGAGACCGTGGTTTGACTCTCTATCGTTCCTGTGATCGCAGTGGGGCGCGTTTGTATCAGAGTTAGAGGGAAGTGAGTTGTGTGTGTGTAGATGCGGGTTCTAATGATCAGTCTCCGCCCGTGTCGGTGCCGGTATTAGACGTTAGAAGACCCGGTGTGTACGGCAGGAGTCCCCGAGGTCCGCTAGTTACCGGGCTGCCCAGCGGGGCACGTGCCGGTCGTCAGGCGGCAGGCAGGTGCACGGAAATCTCCCACCAAGTCCTTAATATCGTGTTGTTTCTGTAGGTGAAATTTTAGGCCAAAAAAATCCTTTCTATTCTGGTCTGTAGTTAGATTTTGTCAGTTTGGTCGTACCTTGTCCAGTAAATCTGTTCTACCGCCAAAAGCCGTATGAAATACATAATGCAAACCACAAATGCAGTCACAGTCGGCTACGTAAAGCGATCCCAGGTCTACATTAGTCTGTACACCAACTCACGACACATGCACCTTTTCATTAGCTCAGCAAATAAAGTAACATACGGAGCCATGCCCCTATGTGTGCAGTAATTATCAAAGCCTGGTAATCCACCCATTAAGAAAGTACAAACAGGGGTCATAGGTTGTTACTTAGATTATCACAACAGAAAGCGTTTTGTTGTTTTTTCTGTTTTTGAAATTGCATAGAACAAAAGGCTTTTATGAATTTAAGCACCAAGACGGTACAGATATATGGCGTCAGCTTTACTTATTGTGCTTGATACATTCTATGGCTGTAACAAACTTACTGTGCTATCCCTGGTGAATAATGTACAAAAAGATTTTAAAAAACAACAAATTTTTAAGAATGGAAAAAAACTAGTTCATAAGATTACATAAACAGGCCGTGTTACGTGAAATGTCCGCTATTTCACCCCGTCCTGCACCCACGTAAAAGTAGGGAACTCGTCTTTAAAAGGTAGTCCGGAAAAAGTATTAAAAGGTTTTACGCAAGCTCTAGGTTGTAGAAAGTCTTACGTCGGCACTCAGCGAACGCCTTGGAGAGGCAGGAAACACTTAAAGAACACGACGGCGTACATCCTTGTTCTTTTCCGTCAAACATCCCTGGTGGGTGAGACAGTGAGACTACAGAGTCCATGTCCTGAGCCGCCTGGCCCAGACTATCCCACACACTTCCACCTGTAGGCGTTTATGTCTCACATACGAGTAGCAGACCGGTTCATTGGCCCACCTTTCCCCCACAAACTTCAGCTCAAAAACGTTTGTCTTTCCTTTAATTGGATTAGTCACTGAATATTCACCACCGATTTCAGTCCGATGCCGTCCTTCCTTATCTCGTTTTACCACGAACATTTTCTTTGGATCGGCACCGCACAACTCAATGTGCTTCTTATCACCCCAACTCAAGGGAACAATGGTGGAGAATAGAGCAATCCCTAATAACGACTTATGGGACCCTCCAAGTAACGGTCTTTGTCCGTCAGCATATGCCTTTGACGCGGTAAGATACGTTGTTTGTCTTGCAGACTTACACAGGGGAGAATGCCTTTGGTACAAAAGACCGGTATGACCCTAAACCTAAGCGGTGCTTCGTATTAAGGAGTTTGAGCCATAAAAGAATGGTTTAAGGCTAAAGAACGTAACTAACATTAATATTTCACCACGGCCCTTGTAGCTTGCCAAGCTTGAAAGATTTTGAGTTCGCAACATACGTGTTATCAGGACGGGGAAGTATGGCGTGTGTTCGTAAGCCATGACATGTCATCGTACCAACGAGCGTCTAGATTCTTCATATTTCAAACCCCATCTCTTTTTTGTAGCTCTCGCTGAGACCCAGCATTCGGTACACATTATTGTTCATCTTACTGGGTGGATATTGTGACTTGTTACCGTTTTCGTAGCCAGTGAAAATAAAAGATATAAAGATCAAGTTCGTGTAGTTCACATTGTACATGTTTGAAAGTTGATTCTGTTTGAGGTTTCCATATGACTACGTACGTAGTTATTCACTCAACTCCCAGATTAGATATCAAACGGTCTTGTTGTGACGCTCCCGACGCGCAGTGTCCTCGCGATAGAGGTTACCGCTTTGTGGCTTTGGGCACTTCCATCTTTTGACATGTATGACGTCGTGTGGATGTTTGTGACCTTTAATTAACTTCTAGTATGTTAGACCTGGACATAACGACGTCGCATCACGGCCGCCCGCCAATGTGTATTCTGGTGCGGCCGGGAGACTTGTGACCACTAGTACTCGTATCAAGTTCTGTCCGTGTTTTTTTCCGTTGACAATCTTTTAACTCTTCCTGTTCCCGTCTATCCCAGGGTACAACAGTTCGTCACTTCACTCCATGAACAAGCCTGCTGTGGACACCAACGCGCATGCTCAGATCAGAAACATGCAAGGTAAATCAACTCTCCTTACTTATAAACACGTAAAACTTTACTGACACCTCTCTATTTTGTGATTTCGAACTCGCCATATCGTGGTGTACAAAAATATATTCAAAAGCAATGTCGTTTTCTTTTATTAGAAAAAAGGAACAGAAGGATCAATCCAACATTAAAATATATGTTAATTACAATGCCTGTTCCTTTCTCTTACAGACCCGTACCAGTTGTTTGGACCAATCAGCAGTCGTCTCTGTCAGTCAGGTGAGGATTTCATCAGTAGTAGTTTTTTTTATGTTTGCTACGGATTATCACCAAATAGGCTTATACAATATGTAAAATGCTGCCACATACTAGTATTCACATATTGAATGGCTACTTCAGGAAGTTCAATCGTCTGTGCTATTTTGTATATTGTCTATACATTATAGAAAGCTATCATTTGTAGTCTTAACAATGTCATTAAATTTTTTTCGTTTTACTATGTCATATTTTCCTCATGTTGATAAATATGCATATGATGTGTCAATAGCATTGCCCTAAATCATAGAATACCTCCAGAAAGATTCAGTAAAACCAAACGAACAAGTTGAAGTGCACTCCTATCGCGAGAGAAATTAAGATAAAAATCTGGCCACAACCTCGACCCTTTCTGTCTGTAATGATGACGTCATGAGGCCCGTGCCCGAGCCATCAGGTCGTCAAGGCGACGGGGACAAATGATGGTTGTTGTGAGAGGAAATTCGCGCCATCTCCCGCTGCCAGGGAGCGCGCTACCGCGGGCGACGGAGGCTGTGTTAGGGGCGCTTGGTTAACATTCTAATGAGAGGACGAAAAACCTCGGGGCAGAAATAAATTAGTACATGTATCCTGTTGTAGTGTTAGCAATGTTGATTTTAAGGTTTACGAATGCATGTATGAACTAAATCTATGGCCAAAAATACACCATTATAGTGTAAACCACTTTTTGGTGCTAGGTCTTACGAAACTATACTCCAGTGGTAAGAAAATGCTGGAAAAGGGTTCTTGAAAACCCTTCAAACCATCCCCTGGCTGTCGGCTGGATCACCTGCAGACTGCGTACACTGCAGCGCGCTAACTCGTCTCCAGGAAACAATCACCGCCCTGTAATTACACAAACTGCGCCTGATTGTTCCGAGTAGGACATTTTATTAAATAATTCATCCGGTGGCCGTGCCGCAGCCAGGGGAGGCTATCATCGCAGCTTGAAGCCGGGAAAGGCGCCAGTACATTCTATCCACGTGCAGACGTTTATTTTGTGTGTTTTTTCTCTTTCTTTTTGTCTGGAAAGGCATCGGTAAAAAGTTGTGTCGTTTTGTTTTTCATAGCCGAATATTGCTGCTGGGACACGCTAGAACATAGTTGACCGAATTCGAAATTACCACAAGCGTTAATACAGAAATTTAAACAATGACTTTTATAGGAACTGTTTTTGCTATAAAGACTGTACGTACAGACATGTCTATTTTGTAATCTCTGTAACCCAGGCTATCGGGCTTTCAATATAGACAAGTAGAGAAGACAACAAAGTCAACAAAGCTTGAAGATGGCTGGAAAACAAATATGAATCTCGAATGCCTATCTTACATGCAGGGGTCCCTTTTATCCTCATTTTCTCCAAGCTTGCTCATTGAAAGTCGGTGAAATTGACTTATGTGATGTTTTTCGAGCTAAAATAGAAGCTCGCTCGAACAAATTAGATTATTTATGGCGTTGCTAGGTAACAGTTAAGTGTTGTCGTGCCAGAGAAATTTGCTGTGTGATCACCGTTCGCCTTGACGGGTTCAATAACAACTACCCGGTCTTATAATCACTGCCAAGATCCGAGCTGTTACCGCTCGTTTGTGTACCAGATGACCCGAACTAAACTAAACTGAACTAAAAAAAACATAATAAAGAAAACATTCCCCCTTTTTTCAATGACAGACCCCCGTTATAAAATGTAAACCCTCTAGTGGCTTGAGGATAGGTGATGTAGCCGATTGAAGTCGGAAACGTTCCAATAAGAACCATCGATATCTGGATACAGAACTTAGATGGTAAAAATTATTATTACAAAAATGCACTGCTACATAATTTGTGAATCTATTCATTAAAACTAACAAAATAAATGTATGTTTGTTGCAGG